GTTCAGGGGGGCTTCGGTGAGGAGGACTGGGTGTTCCTCAGGTGCAACACGCAATTCGTTGTAGAAGGTGTGATGCCAGATTTTCTCCATGTCATCCCAGTTGGTGATGATACCGTGTTCTATAGGATACTTTAAGGTAAGTATACCTCTTTTACTTTGGGCCTCGTCTCCCACGTAGCTGTCTTTCTGACCCATACCGACCATCACACCCTGCAATGATTATTTGAAATATTAGCGTACAGGGTATTAGGGAAATGATGGTTTTGAGTAGAAATTAAGGTGATCTTCCAAATTTTCGTACCTGATGACGAGGGCGGCCAACAATGCTGGGGAAGACAGCACGCGGTGCGTCATCTCCAGCGAATCCCGCCTTGCACATTCCGGACCCATTGTCCACGACTAGTGCCGCAACATCATCATCACACATCTTGGTTAGCTACTAGTGTTACCTTCTGCGAAAATTGAATGACAAAGAAATATAAAAATTGTATCCCCGTTTGTTTTCAAACGAACTTATGCAGTCATTAGTTAAGCGTCTTGACTAAGCGTCGTACTTTAACATTTGCCATTCTGAAGACGGTGTAGAAAATATTACCAAAGATGAAAGAACAGAGGATACTAAAAAAAGTTACTCAAGTTGATTTAAACTATTTGTTATAACAATCAGCTCAACCACGTTAGAACTAATCTAATTGTTAATCAATGAAAAACTTTGCCAAATTATTAATCATGATTTCGAGCGAACAAAAATTGCCTACTAAAATCAGCAGTAGCGACGAATAATTAAAAAAAGAAAAAAAAAAGAGAAGAAGGTGAAAAGCACAAGCATGGTTATCACAGTCTTCGAAACGTCACTTCACAATCATAATACGACGACAATGCAATCCTGGACGTGCGTTCGGCCCTCGTACACTCTCTCGGCAAGGTCGACGATGCCGATTCACTGAAACGACGCGAATTATGTACCAGTGAATACACCTTACGCGTTTCTAACGCACTGACTCCCGTTCTCCGGAGGGCACGAGGACCGAAACGATCGTCCGCGAGCAACCCCTCGTCTTCGATGAAAGAAGCGATCGAGAAGGTAGCTCGCCGGTCCGACACACTGGTCCAACGCACGCTCTTAGCCGATGCAAACTAACTTGGGACACTGGTTCCAATTTACCGTTCGCTAATGAGTCGAGAGATCGGCAATGGTCGCTTTGGGGCGTACGTCGTGCAAGAGACCGAGAGCGGCGAGTGGCACAGTGCCGGCTCTGTGGGGTCCCTTTATCCATATCGGTTCGCAGCCGAAAATAGCGATCCGCCCCTTAGATGGAAATCTATCGTGCATTAACACTCGCCCCGACCCGCCGCCACCGCCTAGTCCTTAGCCGCCCTAACCGTGACGCCGAGAGGGAGAGACGCCGTGCGTCGCGACGAGGCGGCGGCCGACGGCCCCCCAATCCAAATAAGGACTCGTCACGCGCCAGGGCCGTCTCCTGTTGGGTGCTTTCTCGGCCGAAGGTCGAAGGGCACCGACGTTCGACTCGACTCGCCCTTCGATTTCGCCTCGATCGAAAGACAGAGATACAGCTGGAGCTCGAATCTCATCTAAAGCGTTTTCATTCTCGTGAACATGTCACGATGTTTCTTCGTGTTTTTTTTTTTTTTTTTTTCTTTCGATTTTTCAAATGAACTTACGTCACGGAGGCTGTAAAGGAATAATGATTAAAAGAGACACGAAGAGAACTTCAACATTTGTTTCCTTCAAATACGGAATCCGGCGATCGAAATCTGAATTAATCGACGTAATGGTTTTGTAGACGTTGGTGGAGATTAGGGATCTTAATATTGTATTGTTTCTTGAATGAAGTTTTGAAGTTTCAATCGCTGTGTATCGGTATATCGGCTTTTAATAGATGCGAGATTTATGAGATTTGGGCAAAGTGTATGTTTCATGAAAGGGAGATCTAACAGAGTGGATCTCAATATTTACGCGGAATAGTAAACGAACGATTTATCAATTGATCAATGTTTCACAAAGCTATGAGCGTAAGTTTGCAAAGTAATGCAAATGTAAGTATTGTATTATCCCTTTAAAAAAACAAATTGATTATTCCAACTATTGATCCTAATTAATCTCTCTAATCTAGTAATTTACCTATTTTTTTTTTTTTTTTTTTTTTTTTTTTAGAATATTCGACTATTCATTCTACTATTTTGATTCTACTGCTCTCCTCAATATGACTCGCAATGTATTATTATTATAATTATTAAAATTATATATATAATTATTAAAATATAATGTATATAATTATATATAATTATTAAGTATATAATTAATATTATAATGTATAATTATATTATTAAAATAACGATCTCAATCTATATCATTAAGATACATTGTGTCTCGATATTGATTATAAATTTTACGAAGCGCCTTTTGCAAATAAAGGAACAGCATCCGAGACTGAACACGATGAGAAAGCGAGGAGAACAATCATCCAAATCATCCATGCTGGAACAAGACGAGTTTCGATTAATAAAAAAAAACGAACTGGAACTGCTGGGTGTCGCGAGTACACTTCATCCACTTTGCTCCGCGGCTGTCATTCATCCTCATAAATGCACACGTACGTGACTTTGCACGAGTTTGCAGCGCGCCAACAATAATAATCTCGGATCCGAGAGCCGAGTCCCATCACCGATTTTCAATGCTAAACGATCCGAATTTTTTCCGATCGCGCCGATGCTGCGACGATTCGAAAAAGCATCGTTGAATCGAATAATTAGACGATTAGGCTGCTTTCTATAATTGGGAGTGCACGGGGCGACCACGTAGCTCGAGCCACCGCCGATCCCCTCCACCTTTTTGCAAGAGACCACTGTCGAACCGTGCGACCGATTCGCAGATTCGCATTGCTGAGTTTCTACCCCGAAACGGCACGTCCGTTATCGCAAACGATACAACTCTCACACGGAGACCCCTTATACGTATACGCATGGTGACTCGATCGATCGGCCAACAAGTTCGCAAGTTTCGTGACCTTTTTTGCCTGTCTGGAAGATGACGATCGGCGGAATGTTCGAAGGTGACGACGATTTTCATTTACACGCGAACGTCGAGAAAATTCTGGGGAGGGGCGGAGAGGGGGGGAGGGAGGGGACTTATAACAATCGGATTCTTTCGACGAATAGACAATAGTAGTGTAATTATGAGAAGTCAGAAGTTATAGGTGTTGATTTATAACATCGTTCTTTTTTTTTTTTTTTTTTTCTCTCTGAAAGATAAACGAACTTGAAGAACTAGACTAGAGCCTTTGATTAAATTGTAACTGTTTTGAGCAAAATTGTCGGTAATTTGACGATTTTTGATATTTTTATCGACCAGAGTCGTAAGAACTTTTTTTACGCGAGTATTTTGAAGGAATTCATGCATGTACGCTTGACGTGTAATAACTCGAAAAGTTTCCTCCTCCATGTGGACACAGAGTAGTGAATTGAAAAAGATGTTAAAAGCTGCACGACAGAATTATGCTACTTTTAGATGTAAAAGTATTGTCGAAGTATCTTCTGCGGAAATGTAACGAGTAACTTGTTATAGCGTGACAAATGAAAATTTTGCAGGTGCTATGGCGCGAAAAACACAAATGGGACAAGCACTCAGTGTGTGGACTACACTAAAGGAAGAAGCCAGCAACAAGAGGGAATGTGTTCCTGGATGAGCGTGCGTCTATCCTTAGATAAAATTGGCGACGAAACTTGCGATAACTGAAAGAAGTTCGGATTACCCCGGTAATTTCAATAGAAGCAATTCAATTAATCCCTCGCATAATTCAGCCCATGCATGGTAGATCATGTATACTACTACCCCTCCCAATATGTTGTTCATATTCCATCATTCAAGTTCGTAGACTTTTATACGAGAATTTTAATAAACAAATCTTTTTCCTGGAATTTTCCCGTTAGTATTTAAACCCGTCACTCCTACTTTTTATCTAGATTTTTTTTTTATTTTTGAAGTATGCAAAATTTTGATTGGACACAGCCGTCAACACACGGATGTACAGTAAAGGCTTGTTCCTCTTTTTTAAATTCAATCTTAATATTTGCAACATCCCATTGCAAACGCACGATATTAATAAGAAATGATCCGATTATAACGTAATTAATCGTAGTACAGTGTGAAGTATCGTTTTGATTAAGATAGAAGTATTTCTTCGATAATCAAGAGATTAAAACTCTTCTTGATTGTGAAATAATATTTAAAAGATATATATATATATACACATATACAACAGAATTGAAAATATATCGATCTCTAAACACCAATTGTCAGGGAATCGTAAAATGAAAAGCTACGTTTTGATTAGTTGTAAGAATATAAGACTGATTTATTCCGTAGATGTAAACTTATATACAAAAGATGACGTATATGTTCAGACCATGATCGTCGGAAAAAATCTCACCGCCACGTAGAAACAGTGCCGATAGAAATGAACTAACGGAGACGCAACTAGACGAAGCGGTACGGCAGTGAACGGTGTGTTTTGGGAAAAGGTGTAGCAATAACAATATCGATAGTAATAATAATTTGGATCGAGCATAACTGCTTAGAAGCACTTGCGGTGAACGATGCCTGGTCCGGACTCGTCGTACTCCTGCTTGGAGATCCACATCTGCTGGAAGGTGGANGCGACCTACGATCGAGGGGAAGACGGCGCGAGGCGCGTCGTCTCCGGCGAAACCGGCCTTGCACATACCGGATCCATTGTCAACAACAAGAGCTGCTACTTCGTCGTCGCACATTTTGCTTTTTCTTCGATTTTAGTTCTCTGTAACAGAAATCACGATCGTTCTCAATTCCTCGTCGTTCGCTTTCTTAGCGCGATCGTTTGATACCATTGATGATATTTGATTTTATCGAATACCTATCTGTGCGATATTGTAGTTCTCTAGTAGGATTGCACTAAGGTCCTGCGACAATTTTATCGTGTGAAAGTCACTAATGCTTTTTAATATATTTCAACGTGTCTTCGAAAAGCAAACGATACGATCGAAAAATCTGGAAATGGAATCCTATCGAAACCTCGACTTCGAGGCACCGAGAACAAATTCTCAAAAATCGTAATTAAAAGAAGAAGAAGGAAAAAAATGAAACTAATTCTTCAGCGAATGGAAAAGAAAAAACGATCATTCGCCCCGATAAATATCGTTCGATTGCAAAAATATGTATAGGTAAAAACGAGAAGGAAGTGAAACAATATAGGTATAGTCGCGTAGCACGTATGTAGCTTTCGCGGAAAGCGTTGATGCTCGCCAGAATTGACCCAGTTGCCTATAAAACGATAGGCAAGCGGCCCCGGCGTCGCGGCACTATTTCGGGGCGCCGCGACGCTAACTTTAGACGTACGACCGACGAACGATCCCTAATAAGTGCAAGCGGCGATTATGGTGGGTAACAGCGTCCCTCCTCGCCGCGGCACCCCTCGGACCGCGGGGAGATAAAGCGTAACGACGTGGCATCGCGCGTGCCAAAATTATGCTCCCGCTCGCAAAAGGACGAAACTTCACACACGGGCAAAGACCTCGAATATGCCTAAACATGACGATACCAGTCGGCCATTCGCCCCGTACCGGATATTTCTGGCACTCTGGCGATTAGCTGCTTCGAAGAAACTTTCGTTTCGTTTGCCGAGGGAAGAGATTCGCGCGCGAAACAGACGAATTCGAATTATTATTACTACGAGAATGTTACGTGTAACATTGATAACAGAAGGTAGTTAGTTTGAATCTTGAATGTTTCAATATCCCTTTACATTAATCTAGGTTAATTTCTGTTAGGTGTAAATGAATTAGTAATTTGTAATTTGTGGTTTCGCAGATTAGGGATATTAGTAAGTCGGCAAGCTGCGACGATTTCAATATTTCGCGAGCGCAGAGAACGGCGACGTGATTTGTAGAAATCCGATGTTCAAAGAGAAATGTTCAAAGATAAATTCGAAAGTTTTCGCGTTTCGTATATTAAACTTATTCGGTAATTGAGATAGACAAAATATTCGCGACCAAAATGCTTCAAAGCAAATGATATTATTATAATATAATTGAAGAAATAAAGACTGAAACATCGAATTCAACAGATCTAAAAATAATTGTTAAAATACACATCATAAGTAAGATCACCATCGTACATCGTACGCTGCCTTATTCCAATCTAAACGACAAATAAAAAATCGGTTGTTAAAGTTTCTGTCACGTAAATGCTACAACATTACTTCTCGTTCTCAGCACACAGTTAATCCACGATGCTATTTCAGATGCGAGATACCGGAAGGAAACTTAGACCACTCCCTTAAAAGCCTAACAGCGTTCTATCAGCGCCCTCGACGCCTTTCTTCTATCCGATCTTTCAAAGGATTCGATTGGAAAATCCTACGATCCCGAGTGATACAACGAACAGCAAACACGCGAAGAGATCGATCAACCGTTATCCGGTATCTCTGATAATTCATTCGAGGATTCTGCAGGTAGCCGACAAAAGGGTGATCCGTGATAGATGAAATATCGTTTCCAGAGAACCAAGTGTCTACGTACCGTGCACGGGACAGAGTTGGAGTGGCGTCTGTGCCTCGGCTGCGTCCCGACGTCGAATATATGCTCTCGTCAGGACGCCCCCGCATTCTCGTGGGACGGTGCCTGCTCAACAGGCACGAAAAAGGCTTGCCTCGCGTGGCGTCGCGACGCTCGCCCAACTAGGTGGCCCCAGGCCCTAAGCGGACCGAGGGAAATGCGCCGCTTTGAAAATCATCGCCGTCGTTTCTTCCTATAGTTCTATCATTCCTCGCTTAGCTGTCCCGTCTTCTCGTCAATCGACGTTTCAGCTCGTCAAAATTCGAACGACAAGCGTGGAAATTTTGCCTTCTTCTAAATCTGAAGATAAAGAATTTCGTTGCTATTTTGTTCTCTTGAGACTCGACGTTTCAACTCATGAAAATTCGAACGATAAACGTAGAAATTTTCTTTTCTGTATTTCTAATGTAACCTTCTTCTAAATCTGAAGAGAAAGAATTTCGTAGCTATTTTGTTCTCTTGAGACTCGACGTTTCAACTCATGAAAATTCGAACGATAAACGTGGAAATTTTGTCTTCTGTATTTGTAATGTAACCTTCTTCTAAATCTAAAGATAAAGAATTTCGTTGCTATTTTGTTCTCTTGAGACTCGACGTTTCAACTCATGAAAATTCGAACAATAAACGTGGAAATTTTCTCTTCTATATTTGTAATGTAACCTTCTCCTAAATCTGAAGGTAAAGAATTTCGTAGCTATTCTGTCTTCTCGCGATTCCACGTTTCATGAAAATTCTCAAAACTTGATAATAAGTGTGGAAACTTTGTCCACTGTTCAGAAAACGGTATTTGTAATCTACCTTCTTCGTTATTCTAAAGGTAAAGAAAAAAATTTCCTCGCCATTGTCTTCTCGTGAGTCGATGTTGAAACGGTGGAAATTCGAATGAAATTTTGTGGAAATTGTCTGGAATCCAGGAACAATTATTCCCTTCACGTCCTTCTAAAGATGAAGAACGTTTAATCATGTCAATTTTTCAATTATGAAAATACAATTGATGATAAATGAGGAACTCTCGCCTTGTTTGGAAAAATAATATAATTTGTGATTCCTTTTCGTGCTTCTTCCTGTTTATATTTCTCGAGGAGTATCTTCTCCTATCTGTTGACGAGACGCGTGGCTAATTCTGAGATCATAATTCACGAAGAATGAAGGAAATTTAACAGATCCAATTGTTAGAGAGTTTACGACTGTACGAGGTTGTACTCGGTAGTCTCTTTTGCTTTGGAAAGTTCCGTGGAAGCTAAGTTAAGCCTGTACACCGCTAGTTTCCCAAGCCACGGGAAAGGTCTTGATCCTCTTTTATTACGGAAGTGAGTTTTCGTGTGTCTCTCTGTTTTTGTTTGAGTCGAAAATGTCGTGTAACGTAAGAGCTAGCTGAGCTTTGCTTGCGCGATGTAGGCAGAAACCGAGAGCACTGATTTATCCCATGTACAAATAGAATTCCGTGTAAATCCACCGAGTACTTATATTAGACCTTCTCGAGGAAACCGTAAATTGCCTGTTAATTCTTCATGTTTCAATATTTCGAGATTCTCTTCTAACAGATAACTTTTTCACTCAGTGTCAGTTTGCCGTGTGACATTCTCGCGCGTGTCAACTGAAAAATTTTAGCGCAGTTCCTATTTTGAATCTTAGTTTATTACTTAATACCACGAAAACGAAATATATATATATTCCATTTATGCACGATGGAATATAAATTATTTCGAAGATATATAATTATTACAGAAAATGTACAATGTACAATACAACATCATGTAGACACATTAACTGTCGCTCATGTAACATTGTGTTCTCTTCTGAAACATGGCTACTTATCAGTAACTGTATTTAGTCGAATCGCTAATAATAAGTGATACGAATCGTGATATTTTTGAAACCACGCTCTCCAATTACCGTGCCCGTTTCTCAATTGCAGAAACTCATTGACAAAATGAGTCTCAGTCTCTTTGAAACTCTCCAAAGTTATCAGCTTGTAAACCTGCGATCAAATTTAGTTTAATCCGGGGGCTGACAACGGGGATATCGAGTTTTGATCTTTACACGATACACGTTCTCTCTTCTTTCGCTTCCCCCCCCCCCCCCCCCTCCAGATATCACACACGGAGGAATATTTCGAGATTACGCATCGGAACGAAAATAAATCGCAGGCTCCGAATAGCTCTTTTATCGTGCACGCTTATCGACCGGGGGAAAAGGGGACATTCAGGGAACGAAGGCAACCACCGTGAAAACGTACAAACTTCCGGTGCCATTCACGACCAAAAAATAAAATTCCTTTCGTAAACGTAGAAACGAAAGTTCTTTCGTCGAGTCCGCGCGGTATTGGAAAAATAAAGTAGCAACTGTAGCAGAAGTAGATTAGTCATAATGGGCCAAGGTCATCGGTTAGGTACACGTCACAATAACAGTTATTTTAAAACCACTTGAACCGCCGGCCTCACCGCGTTCACCGCAGACATATTCGGACTTGAACATCGGGGATGAAACAGGAATTCTTTCTTACTAAACGAATTCTTTATGTTTATGATAGTTACACATAACGTTACACGCTCGTAGCACGCGATGAAATACACGCGTGTAGAAATTCGAGCGAACAAATACTTAACAATCGATAATTGATATTGTAATTCAACAAGTAGTACGTTTGTTGTACTTAATGTGTATCTCGGTACTTGAGTGTATGTTATATTGCAAACTTATCTAATTGTGGGTAATTGAAATTTCGTTCGCCGAAAGAATGTCGAAATCTAAGAAGTCGTACGTCTAGTTAAATCTATTAACGTATCGAGCTTTCTGTATATACGCGTGTATATTTTTATGCAACAATTTATGTTACAGCAACGACAAGGTCGTTGTGAAGGCAGACTTCGTAGAAGAGACCGAAGATACAACATTCTCGAGGGAAAGAAAATGGATTTGAAAAAGGATTCTGATCTCTCTAATCTCTAAGGGAGGGACATCGTACACGTGTCAAGGAAACGAAAGATGTCAAACGTATCAAGGCACTGACGCCAAAGGACGTAAATAATGGTATGAGTGAATGTATATTTAATTTGACATTTTGATATATCGTATAACAATATAGCAATATATAGTGTATAATATTTACAAAATAAATTAAAATACAAGGGTACTGATGGCGTGTTCGCTTCGATTAGCAGGCTAGGTATAGTATCATTTAAGAAATTTGTTGCTGCGGTGAAGGGATCTCGCGTAACAGTGAAATAAGCGTAGCTTTCCTCGAAGCTGGTCCAATTCTCTGATTCAAGATCCTGATTTCTTCTTGCGTATCCAGAATGTCCCTTTCACGATCGAAAGATGCATTTGGGTAGACAGGTCAGCTGATCTGGAATCGTTCACGGGACTCGAGTTTCGATACCAGACAAAGAGAATGGCCATCCACGAGTGAGCTCTGTATCGAGAAACCAACACCTTTACCGGTCTCCTCGGCCATGATGAAACGATAGATGAGTGTAACCTTGATAGCCCATTAAAGAGCTATAAAATCATACATATGATCAGCCAGGTCGTCGTATCACACAAAACGACATGGATGATGACCATAATATGGATGAATATTCGATGAGATCTGACGATGATCTGGTTATTGTGACATTTTGATAACGTTGCTTTATAGCAGCACGTGAATTGCTCAAAGGAAACCGATGGATCGTATGCTCGATTCCCTCGGTGTCGACTGATGATGTGCGACGTTGCTGAATCGTAGACAATGCGTTTAGAAGCACTTGCGGTGAACGATGCCTGGTCCGGACTCGTCGTACTCCTGCTTGGAGATCCACATCTGCTGGAAGGTGGA